ACTTGGTGAAACTCCAAAATTACAGAATTGAAGTAAAACAAATACAATTATACGTTTCACAAAAACTTCATTTATACACGACCAGTAGAGACCTGATGATACCTTTACTGGCGAAACCCCATGGTCGTGAATAAATAGTTTTTGTGAAACATATAATTGTATTTGTTTTTTCTTCAATTCTGTAAATATGTTTGTTTTGTTTGTTGAAAGTAACATTGAAGATTGTTTATCATGAACTGTTCGCACGTTCCATCTGGCACTTGCCTTAAAGCTAAGCCAGGTGGAATAGTAATTTTATCAGTATCTGAGTAGGTTGGTTGTGGACTAGTAATTAGATTTCCAGGACTATGAATCCGAGGGTTCAATGTTCGCAGCCAGTTCTTCAGGACTATGACTGCGCATTAAGAGTGGTGGTCATCCCACTGTTAGGGCAGACAATGGTTGGAAGCTATTGCTGTTGACTAGCTGCCTTCTGTCTAGTCTATGAGTGCTGCTTTTCTTGAAAATTCTGAAAGAAACCGACATCGCTAGTTTGAAAGTTAAAACAACGTAACAGCTGGATAAACATTACTGGGCAGGTAAAAATTAATTAATTAAAAACTGGTCGTAACCATATAAATATCACCGTTCAGGACTTACATATTTCAACAGAAGACCGTATTTAGTAAAATTATATACCTAGAAAGCATTACATTTACCAGTATTTGGCGAAAGTCGGAGATTGGTGTAATATATGGGCCTTATGTAATGTCGTATTTGGTGATTAAGACAGCAGTTTACGTTAGCGGTTTTTTAGAGAATAATGTGGGAAAACGTCCTGGATATATATTTTGGCATATTTGTATTAAATATGGTCGTATATAGTAACATATGGGTCCCAAATGGTGATTACGACATTAATTCGCATTAGCGCTGTTTCTGCAAATGCTATTTTGGAGAAATTTTCATAAAGCTAGAAATTATAATAATTTTTACTGTAATCTCACTGAGTGTAGCAATGTGTAGTCTTGTGAGCTATGCGACTTTTAGCAGCCCCTACCCCTATGTTTTATCATAAGGCTAATACAGGGGTATGTACTAGTTTTCACAAACGTGTCTTCTCAGTCCGATGTTATCGTCTGAAAAAAGAGATTAAAACCAGTATAGTTTTAAGTGATGCCAGGCCTCGAAACCCACCTGAGGGCATAAGCAGTCAGCAGAGAGGTAAGTGTAAAGTGGTTTTTTAGGGGTTGCAAAAATCGATTAAACTTTTGACATTTGAACTTTTAACATTTCTTCTTTTTATGCAGATTATCGGATTCGATTTCCAATCAAACTGATGGAAATCCTTATGGCACACACACACACACACGCACACATAATATACTATTACGTAACAGTCTTAATTCTTGCTGTATCCAAAGATATTTAAACTTTCTTTATATATGTTTTCAAAGCTGTGTTTTATTAGTAAATGATCAAACTACTGATATGAAACCATAACAACGTGGCAACCAAGGCCTTTACAAAACTAAGGGAAACGCTTGGAAATCAAGAAGTGAGTAATATATTCTCACCGGGTGATAGCTCTTAGTAAAAATAAACTTTAGGTTTCAGATGGGCAGAAAAATTCTAAAAAAAAAATCAACTTCAAGTGGTGTTATTTTGTTTACAGACAAAACTTTTACAGCTGTGCAGAAATGATAATACTTAGTTTTTCTTTGAAATACACTGAGTAAATGTCATAAAATACCAATATATCGTTTGCAAAATAGTTTTGAATTAAAATAGTTTAAACAGGATTATAATTAATAATATAATATAAAGTTGCCTAAATATTTTTGGTAGAAATATTTGAAAAGCTAGAGGAAATCCTGCCTTAAGATAAAATAATTTAGGAATAACTATTTATTTTAAATTGTTGTACATGAAAATATATATATTATAAGCAAAGTAGTACAAAACCCGTAACAACCTGAAATTGCGATTAATAGCGTTCCATGGGTTTCTCCCTTAAACTTCCATTAGAACATGTTGATCAATAAACATATCATTTAATGACATTTTCAAATGTCATTTTGTGTATAAAGTTCACGACCTTTGAGGCTTGGTATGACCTAATGGTTAGGGCGCTCGACTCGCAATCTGCGGGTCGCAGGTACGAATCCCCATCACCGAACAAGCTCGCCCTCTCAGCCGTGAGGGCATTATAATGATACGGCAATCCCACTATTCGTTGGTAAAAGAGTAATCCAAGAGTTGGCGGTGAGCGGTGTTGACTAACTGCCTTCTCTCTGTCATTTCTAAATATCTAAAATTTCAGTTGTAGACCTACAACATGTGTCAGTTAATTGAATATTGTTGAAAAGTAAAGTTATTTTTCAAATCATGTGCAAAAATGAATATATAATATTTGACAAACAATACTGATGTTTGTATTAAAAATAAAATTATGTCAAAGTTCGCTAGATGATGTACTTATGTTAAACATTTTTCAAACATATGATTCATGCACGTTTCAAATGACGTTAAACGTAGTTAGAGATCCATACTTTGAAAAACTGTTACTGAGAACAGGGATGGATCCAGGATATTGTAGGGTTGAAAGGGCCCAATTAGGCTTCTACTAGCGTTACTAATCAATTTATATTATCTCGCTGTTTACTTAAGATTATACACTAGTAGTAACTTTAGCCGATTAGTTATCTATGGATTCAAACCTTATATCTTTATTTCTAGTATTGCGATTGTTATGAAAATGAAAACAGTTAAATAAAAACATTTTAAATTGTGCAATTAATGTTTAAAAGTTTTAATTTTATTTAGAAAAAAATTATAAGGTGTACACCTAAATTCATATTTTAATGCCACTTGTACAGCTGTAGTCCTTTTGGACATCAGCAATACGAGAACTATTTTTTTTTTCGTGAGAATTCTAACTTCTAAACAATGAAAATGTTAGGATAGAGTGTATTCTATGTTGTAAGAGCTGCAGGTGTCCCAGGCAGTAATAACTATGCTCAAAACAAAACTCTAAAGTTATAGAAAAATTATCAGAGTATTTGTTTGCAAAAAAAAAGCCAAGGCGCGGACGTTTACCATGACAACGTTTAATTGTCATTCATATTGTTGTATTAGCCTAGAAATAATCTATTATTGGCTGAGGTCGTAACCGGATTGCTGTAGACTCCAGCTGTATTTACTTAAGAAAATCCGAAAAAAAAAAGCTTTCACGTTAATTCATTGACCAATTAGATAAAGACACTGACATCTAATAATTATTTTCGATACTGTATGGTAGTGTAAGGATGTGTAACTGTTGTTTATTAATTTCTGAAAAAAATAGAAAGGAATTCATATTCCCCCAAATCCACTTAGAATTATACAACCTTAAATGATATAGTTAGTAATTTCTGAAAAAATGAGTGGATGGTATTTGGTCCTCTGGACCCCTCACGTAGATCCATGTCTGTTTATGCAACATTAAAAAGTAGTTATTAATTCATGAAGAAATGGGAGTCTAGACCTCTGAGCCTCCCACCCCCGATCTCCTTGCCTGCTTATACAACATCAAATAATAGTTATTAATGTCTTTAAAAAGTGGAGGAGCCCAGACATCCTTGACCCTCCCTCACATATATCCGCGCCTTCTTATATTAAAAAATACAGTTACACAATTCTAAGTTAGTGAGATAACACATCATGAAAATACAGCAAATTCACACTTTGTTTAACGCTAAATAGCCAGAGAGTTGGCGGTGGGTACTGCCATCCAGTTGCCTTCTCTATAGTAAGCAGTTGAAAATTATGTAACCCTGTGTTTAACAACAAATAAAAAAAATACAGTAATAGCAATATTTTGATTACTTGAATAGTTGGAATAATCGAAAACAGTAAATAATTGGAAACTAATTTCGATTAGTTGGTTACCTACGTGACATTAATCGATTAATCGTAATTTCGATTAGTTTGCAAGACACTAATCGATCAAGTTACCTAGTTCTAGTACGTTTGTAACTCGTGGATTTTATTTCTAGCTTGCCGCATTTTATGTAGATACATGTAGTAAGTTCGAAATTATAGTCAACACTCATTTCTCGAACATAGGGTTGGTCGAGTGTTCTAACCCCGTGGACATTCGGTTAATCAAGTTAACTGTAATTTTAGTTTTGGAATTGTTTTTACAGAGTTTCAGCGTGTAAGGCTACCTGTCAGATCTTAATTATAATCCAGTATCGTCTCAAAGTTTATTGTCTTGATTAAGCTAAAATCATATAAAAATGTTGTCAGTGAATAATTACATCAGCCAAGCATAGACTGTTAGACATAAGTCATCGTTATTCATAGGTAAACAAACATAAAATCTGAGCTGATCACACCTTTTTAGTTGCAGTTTTTCCTGTTTAGCCATAACCTGTTAATATTGTTTGTAGTTTCCACATTATTCCTCAAATTATCTCATCATTCACCAACATCTTATCAAACTTTTTATTCTCACAGCTTATGAAAGTTTCTAAAGCTGCAACTATTAAAATTGAGTGTAAAAAATCATGTGTTCAGATGTATAGTAAATGTGTATTGATTACATTTTGTTATATCAAATTAATACGACTTTCATAGGCAAAGATTACATTTTGTTTGATTACAAAGAAAACATTTACATTTTAACATTATTGGAAATCAGACCATTATGAAAACAATGAGACCGTATATAATACTCCACATTGAAGTTTTTACTCGTGTAGTTCTAAATGTATTGTAAGTTTATATGATTTTTTTGTTTCTGTAAAGTGTTAACTCAAATGTAATGATTGCTCAACTGCGAATTATTTGGGTTTTAATTTGAAAATCAAAGTATTTTGGAATATATTTTCTTAATATTACGTTTTTATTAAAAGCTCTTACAGAACAGTACACATACATTGCAGTAAATAAGCAAAACTAATAACCTGTGACTAATAATCCCAGCCTGTTTGTATCAGTTTGCATAAAATTAAATTTATATTTTAAAAACTCAATAATAGCAGTATCGTTTACTTTCAAAGGTCAAGCTATTGACCAACCTGACCCCACTTCCCAGTGAGTATTTTGTGAAATGTTTGTCGAAAGGTGCGATTGAAAATAGTATAGAATATTGGGTTAACCATTGAGGAAGAGTACCCCATCCATCCAAAGATATACATAATTGTTGGACTGATGAGGTCCTGGCAGTTTGGACACAGACCCAGCAAAAGGTTCGTTACAAAAAATGGAGACCACAGAAACACAAAAGCAAAGAATACGACTCCTAGCACTTTGGTAGCTTTTTGCTCAAGTCTAATGGTTCTGCCATGTCTAAGAAGGTTCCTTTTGCTTGTTGTTTGTTGCTTGTCTGTTGAAGTTGATCGTCTTTTCTTCTTGTAAATAGAGTCTTTTATTGAGCAGGACTCTTGACGGGACATTGACTGGCTTGGAATAGATGAATAGGAACGGTTGGGCCCTATTAAAGAAGGTATTCTACTAGTAGAAGGAGAAGAAGCATGGCTCTTTAAGGTCGACTGTTTAGGTCTTGTACCTTCCGTATCTTCAGAAGATTTGTGATCGTAGAAACTTGAGAAGAGATCTGTGGCATGAGAAGTTTTAGCTTTGAAACAAAGTTGAAAGCGTTGATTTTCATGCTTTTCACAAGAGTTTTCCGTTGTTAAATTTTCAAGTATTTCTCCAAACCATGCTTTAACTTGATTTTCAGTTAAGGAAGTAGTCTCTGTACTTGCGACACATTCGTAATCAATAGAAACAAAACCCTTTTCAAGAAGCAGAGATGAGGTAGGTAAATTGCGATTGTTAAAAGACTTCAGTGACCATTCTGAAGTAAGAAGGGGTCCTTTACTTGTTATTTCGTCATGCTGAACATTCGAAAATAAATTTGGGCAGCTAAGAATTCGCTGTGATTTTGTCCTGGGATGTTTCTGCTTCCACAAACTTAACACAACGTTTCCGTTGCTATTTGTTTTGTAATTTACAGAAAAACCACATGTACGTCTCGACAGGCTCGTGACCCAATTTAAATTATCCAGTAAGGGTTTGGAGGGAAACTCTTTATTTTCTGTTGTACGTGTAAATCTATTACCACTTGCAGGTTTTGCACCTGAATCTGGAATTCCGCTACTAATTGGCAGAAGCTCGAAGTTTCTCTTTTCCTTGTCATTTTTTTTATCTATTGATTTAAGTGTGAAGGTTGTCGTTTCCATGTTTGTTTTGTTCAGAGAAAATAATGAGCTATATGGGTTTGAAGTGGAAGAACGCAAATTTGTTACAGAGTTCTGCTTCACCTTGCCGTCACTCTTCTTGCTCCCATGAGTAATCTCAGGATTAAGTGTTGATTCAGATACTGTTCCTTCTCCAGTAAGTAGGACTTCTTTCTGTTTACAACGAAGTAGTCTCACTGTGAGAAGGTATGTTGTCACCATTATAAGAAGTGGGATGAAGAAACTGATGACGGACCCAACTACAGCAAATACTGGGTCTAGTGTATTACACACCCCGTTTTGGATTACAGACTGAGAATCCTTTTCATAAAGCATGCCGAGTGGAAGAGACATGGCAACCGATAACAACCACACAATACAGAGCTTTAGGATCACTCTTCGTTTTGTCTTATTCCGGCCGAACTTCATTGGATACCTTAGACTTAGGTAGCGGTCCACGGAAATGGTGCACAAATGCATGATGGAACAAGTGCAGAATAGCACATCCAATGACACCCAAGCCAAGCAGTAGACTGGTGGTAGGGGAAAGTAACCTGAAAAATAGAAGAAACACAATTTACTTGTTCGGCATCATGACAAAATATTGTGAAATACGGACTTTTAAATCTTATTTTATTTTTTCAGTAGCATGGTGAGAAATGAAAATAACATGAATGAACTGTACAAGTATTTGATTTTTGAACAGCATGTTGAGAAAATAAAATTATTTGTTTAGCTGGACAGAGAATAAAAAAACAAACAAACTGAAAGTGAAATATCTGCATTATTATGTTTTAACAATATCATGAAAAAATTATCGTAAAATATAGAATAACATCTTATCTTATCTTACTTGCTCAGATGCGTGACTTGTGATAAAAGTAACATCATTTATAGAAAAAACTGTCTTAAGTAACTTATCGTCACCATCTTCGTTGCCCCCCCCCCCCCAGTAGCACAGCGGTATGTCCGTGGACTTGCAACGCTAGAATCCGGGTTTCGATACCCGTGGTGGGTATAGCACATATAGCCCATTGTATAGCTTTGTGCTAAATTACAAACAAACAAACCATCTTCATTAATTAAAGTACGTGGTGTATATAACAGCTACGCCTTTTTTTTATTACTTTGTATGTGTTTTGTTTTGATTTGAGTGTGTGTGGGGAGGATAGAATTTATTTAGATTGTTTGGTTGAAGGAAAATCACCTGAAATATAATTTAAGTAATCTATGTGTATATATATGTAAAGTATTTATATGTACGTATATATAAATTATATACATGTATATTCGATAACTTATACAGAGGGATGTGAACTTTGGTAACTATCAGGGCGAAGACTACTGGATGTGCAGCTTGTTACTAGACTTCGTGAACGGCTCTCTTTATACAATATTATGCATTCATAACTCGTATTTATAACCCGATAACCGGTTTTTCTACCAGTTTGTGTATGGTATTCTTTCATACACCTGATGTGTCCTTGTGTTCATCGGTTCCACTACAGCACGCTGTCAAAGTCTTTTTCATGTGTTTACTTACTTTCACATTTCTGTTGTTGTCGTTACTTATATAGGTACGTGTATTTCATCACGATTAATCTAATACTTCAGTATTTGTTCACAAGAGGTTCTAACTCTCAGTAGATATCTGCTATTTAGACGGAGAGTTAGTTCTTTTGTACTGTGACGTTTTCAGGGCAATTGGTACAGTTTTCTTTGTGGTAAGTATTTAGTTCGAGACTGTTTGGCGGTTTTGAACGTTGTTATTTTAGTGAGTGGTATTGTGTTGCTTGACAATCTTTGTCCGCTAGTCAAGAAGTTTTACGACGGCTCCGTTAACTGCCTTGTGTTCCACCGATAACCTAGTCAAGCGTTCGCCGAAAGCAGCTAAGGAATCTGTTGTTCCCAAAGGCTCGATTGACGTGATCTTCTGTGGCCATTCCTTTGAACCTGTATTGTTTTCACTAGCGATATATTACTGCCTGAGGTTTACGACATGTCCTCTGCAGGGAGTTGAAGCTTTTGTTAGCAACATCGCTGGTTCTAATGTGTATTTCGTCTTCCAGATGGAATTTGACGATTATGATTTATTTCATTTTTGCGGTGAAATATGAAAAAAATAATGTTTTTAAATTTTATATTATTGTTTACTAACACAAATTCTTTGACTATGTATATATATATAACTTATAAAGCTTTAATACTCATTTTATGCTGTTTGTGACCATACTTACATATAAATATTGGATTTATCTTGCACATTTTTAATACAAGATTAGAATGAGTTAAATATAACTTAATATACAAACCGATCACTGAAAACCTAAACAAGTTTAGTATAATAGAAATCTTGCC